ACGATTAATCGCAGTTTTAATTGCACTGTTAAACAACAGAATACCAATTGAAATTTATTAAATATTTCAAACATTTTTCCTACATTTTCAAATATATTGATTTCAATTAAAACACAGAATACAAAGTGTATAGTATTCACTTTATACTATTTTTATTACAAATATTTGCACTGTAAAAACGATAAAAGAAATAGTATTTTTCAGTTCACCTCATAGAAGTAGCATAGTGCAATCTCTTTATTTTGAAAGCGCAACTTTCAAATGTAGATTTTTTTTTATTACATAGCTGCACTCAAAAACAAAACAATGGAAAACTTTAGAGCCTACAAGTCTATTCAATCCTACTTCTTGTTCTGCCAATGGCTCAGACAAACAAGTTTGTTTACATTTGCAGGAGATACTGCTGCCTGCTTCTTATTTACAATGTCACCTCAAAATGAGAACAGACGTTCGCATGGCACTTTTGTAGCCGGCATTGCAAGGTATTTACATGCCAGATCTGCTGAACATTCATATGCCCCTTCATGCTTTGGCCACCATTCTAGAGGACGTGCTTCCATGCTGATGATGCTCATTTAAAAAATAATGCATTAATTACATTTGTGACTGAACTCCTTGGGGGAGAATTGTATGTCTCCTGCTCTGTGTTTTACCTGCATTCTGCCATATATTTCATATTATAGCTGTCTCGGATGATGACCCAGCATGTTGTTCATTTTAAGAACACTTTCACTGCAGATTTGACAAAATGCAAAGAAAGTACCAATGTGCGATTTCTAAAGATAGCTAGAGCACTCAACCCAAGGTTTAAGCATTTGAAGTGCGTTCCAAAATCTGAGCGGGACGAAGTGTGGAGCATGCTTTCAGAAGTCTTAAAAGAACAACATTCCGATGTGGAAACTACAGAACCCAAACCACCAAAAAAGAAAATCAATCTTCTGCTGGTGGCATCTGACTCAGATAATGAAAATGAACATGTGTCGGTCCGCACTGCTTTGGATTGTTATCAAGCAGAACCCATCATCAGCACGGATGCATATCCCCTGGAATGGTGGTTGAAGCATGAAGGGACATATGAATCTTTGGCGCATCTGGCACATAAATATCTTGCGACGCCAGCTACAACAAGCAGTGCCATGCAAACGCCTATTCTCACTTTCAGGTGACATTGTAAACAAGAAGTGGGCAACATTATCTCCCAAATGTAAACAAACTTGTTTGTCTGAGTGATTGGCTGAACAAGAAGTAGGACTGAGTGAACTTGTAGGCTCTAAAGTTTTACATTGTTTTATTTTTGAATGCAGTTATTTTTTGTACATAATTCTACATTTGTAAGTTCAACTTTCATGATAAAGAGATTGCACTACAGTACTTGTTTTAATGAATTGAAACAATATTGAATCATAATTGAAATAAATATAAAGTGAGCACTGTACATTTTGTATTCTGTGTTGTAATTGAAATCAATATATTTGAAAATGTGGAAAACATCCAAAATATTTATATAAATAGTATTCTATTATTGTTTAATCACAATAAAGTTTTTTGAATCGCTTGACAGCCCTAATAAAAGCCTACACAAATTTTGGTCAAGATTTTTTTTTAATGGTTTGCAAAGATTAAGGTTGGGGAGGCACTTAATGGGGAGGGAGGGATACCTTGAAAATGTGCCTTTCTGTATCTTTATTTTGGAATTGTAAATCCTGAAATATTTACTGATAGGAATTCTTACGGTGTTCATTACTGAGTGAAATTATATGGCTTGTGTTATGCAGGAGATCAGACTAGATGATCATAATGATCCCTTCTGGTCTTAGAATCTGTGAATCAATGTAGTATCTGAGGAATAATACCATAATCAGAGCTGGTCTTGTGGGACTATCAGCTCAAAGTCAGACAGCACTGGAAATCGTCCAAGAAAGCTTGATCTCATGAGACTTCCAGTATAAAGAATTTCAAACAAACATCCCAACAAAACCTTATAAAATGTATCCATCACTACTTAGGAACATTTTAACTGGAATCAGTTTAGCAGCGGTACTAATTTGATTACAGTAATTTAACTCAATTTATTTTAAACTGAATTTCTCATTCTATTTGAACAGAAATCAAAATCATACTGAGTTAAAGTTCTTCGAAATTGGTATTGGAATCAACTGTTTTTCCATAGAAAGAGTAGAATCCTTGTGGTTGAATACTGCAGAGAGGTCCATTAATCCTAAACATTCATAATGCACCTGATCCACAACCCATGGAAATAGTGGAAAGACTTCTGTTGACTTCCATGGGTTCTGGATCAGGTCATTAGGTGGCAGTGTGGAAAATATTAGTGGAATAAGGGTTAAAATTTGTTATTTCTTCTTTTTGCTAGACTTGGAATCTCATTCTCAAATATTGAAGCTCTAGCAGCTCAGATGGTGAAAACTTTTTGCACTACTTCCCAAAACATCCCAGTGACACCTGCTCTTTATGGACCTGATCAAAAACCCATTGAAGTTGAGGGAAGGCTTCCATTGATTTTGGTGGTCAGTAGATCAGACCCTGAGCAACCATCCAAGAAAAAGCATATGTTGATTAACTTTAAAAGCATATGTTGATTAACCCACAAGGACGGGGTTTGGCTACTGGAGTTAGCTACTAGAATAGATTTAACTATAATAAAAGTGAATATCAGATTATGTAGTAATTCCTCTGGAATTTCTGACAGTCTGCTTGCTCTGATCAGCAGCATTTTAAAGTGCCAATGCTTCATAGCACTGTAAGCACATAGCATAAAATTCACCTAAGTGGAGGGCCCATCCAAAGCTCTCCCAAGTAGAACCTTACAAGGAATTATTTTTTAAATTCTACTCCCAACCTGCAATTCTCACTCCCACCTGCTCCCACATTGTTTCTTGAATTTTTTATCTCATTCCTGCTGTTATGGCAGTTGGTCCTGTGGGACCACTGCAGGGCTCTAAAATTGTCCCAGTAATGGCTGGATGAGCTGCTCTCAGCAGCTGTCTTCCCACCATCACCCACCCACTCCCTGCACCCATTTGCAATAGGATGGGAACTCACTGACCCTCCCAACTCATCCATGCAGAGGGATCCGAGTCCTCATGCACCCCTATAAGGGGATGAGCAACCCCCGCATCTCCCCTTCCCTATGCAAAGGGATTAGAAACTTCTAACTCTCCATGCAAATGGCTGGAGAGACCCTGCATCTCGTGCACAGGGAACAGGAAGACCCCATGCCTTGCCATCCCCAGGCACGGGCAGGGGCAGGGGCAGGGAGACCCACCATTCCCATCCTTACTTCTGCACTGTTGCTGATGGCGGTGCTGCCTTCAGAGTTGGGTGGCTGGAGAGTGGTGGTTGCTGAATGGAGTGTTCATGTTGTTTGCAGTGCAGGAGGACTGTTTTTTAAATCCTGCTTCTGCCCCACAATACCCATTCCCACTACTACCCGCTCCCGCATTGTTTCTTGAATTTTTATCCTGCTCCCGCTATTATGGCAGCAGGTCCTGTAGGACCCGCAGGCTCCCGATCCTACTGCAGGGCTCTACTCCCAAGGCTCATGGTTAGGGTGACCAGATGTCCCATTTTTAAAGGGACAGTCCCTTTTTTGGGACTTTTTCTTATATAGGTGCCTATTACCCCTCCTCCCCACTCCATTTTTTCACAGTTGCTAGCTGGTCACCCTATTCATGGTGAGTCTATGCAGCAGCATAGGCGCCAACTTCTGCTGGCACCGGTGGATGCTCGACCCCCCTCGACTCCCGGACCTGCCCCAACTCCACCCCTGCCCTGCCCCCATTCCAACCCCTTCCCCAAATGCCTGCGCTGGCCCCGCCTCCTCCCCTAAGTGCTTTGCGTTCCCGCTCCTCCCCCCTCCCTCCCAGAGCTTGTTACATCACGAAACAGCTGTTTTGAGGCAGCAAGCACTGGGAGATAGCACGCCGCTTCTCCGCCTCAGGGGTGGAGGCGAGGTGGGGCGGGGAGTTTGACTGCCAGTGGGTGCAGAGCACCCACCAATTTTTCCCTGGGGATTCTCCAGCCCCAGAGCACCCACGGAGTCAGTGCCTCTGTGCAGCAGGTTGGTTGGTGTAGATGCAGTGGCCATGCAGAAGGAGATTCTACCCTGACCCTGATCAGTGCACTTGGAGAAGAGACCACATGATCTAGGAAACCAAATCCACTCCAGAGGTATGTTAGTGATTGAGTTGCAGCCCTATAGCCTGCATCCATCTTGGGGAGGATTACATTTTCTCTAACTTAATTCCATAGTTCCTTCCGCAGGGCTTGATTCTGTAAGTGCTGGGCACTCTGACCTTGATCCAAAAAAGGTCTTTAAGCATGTGTTTAGCTTTAAGCATATGAGTAATCTTACTGACAACACTGGTGCCATGTCTACCATATGGGTGCCACAGCGGCACAGTTACAGCACCATCGTTATGGACCTGTAGCGCTGTACCGGAGAAGATTCCTTCAGCAACAGAAGGGGTTTTTCCATCACTGTTGAGCTCCACCTCATCGAGTGGTGGTAGCTAGACTGACGGAACATTCTTCCATTGATCTAGCTGCATCTACACAGGGGGTTGAGTTGACACAGGTACAGTGCTCAGGCTTAGGAGGATTTGTATACTTAAAGTGAAACGTATTTAATATACTACATATTGTGCATTATATGTCATTTGAAAACACACTATTGTAAGGAAAATGAAACAAAATGCAGCTGTTCTTTTATTTTACCACTTACCTAAAGAATTTTTTTTTAAATCAAGGCAAAAC